GAGGAAACACTGGATTAACAACTAGGCATGTCTGAGGCTTTTAATTTTAGCCTCTGAACTGAAAGCTTTCTAATTGTGATAGCAGTCCCTTCTATATCTATTTTTAATATCCTGTTTTGTGCATTTACCATCTAATCCTTTCTTCGGTGCCAACTATACTTTAGGTCAATGACAGCAACTACTTGCAGATTTTGGTGATTTGCTATAAGCAACCTGAGGCAATGGCTAAGCCAGGCTATGGCATGCAATCCCTTAATGCTGTTCAGACACGATTAGGCTTGTTTTAATCTCTGAACTAATAGCCATTCTGCAGAATGCCAAAACAGATGATTTATTTTTAGTACTCAGTAATTTTTTTCTTATTGCTGCATTCTAATTTGTATCTTATTTCCTTTCCCCGAAGCTTTGCTATTCCAAAAGGAATTGCTCCATAAATGAAGTCAGCTTCTGTGGTGGTCCACTGGCACAGCACTGCCTCTGCCCAACAGCCCCACACCATGCCATGGAAGACTTTAAGAGTGAAAATGAGGGAGGAAATGGGAGAAAGCAGTTTGCAGCTTTTCTTCAGTCAGTCAAACCAGTTCAAAGGTCTTTATTCTCCTCTTTCATCCTTTCTACACATCCCACCAGAGTCAGCAGGCCAGCTCAGGTATGGCAAATTCAACAACCCCAGTGACTACACCAAGTGATGGCCGTGGATATATCCACACCAAAAACCCCACAAGACAGCACACCTTTTTTTGAGGCAAGCAATTTTTATCTTTCCTTAAAATAATAATTTCACAGATGTCTCATTTAGCTCTTTGTGCTTCAGTAAACACAGGGGGCAGAAATTTCTCAAGCATTATTGTCTGCTGAGCGAGGCAAACTACAGAAAACACAGCCTGGACTTGGACAGCAAGCTCACTCCAGAAGGCAATCACAGCAACCGTCACACAAGTAGGAACAAATTCAAGATTTATATTAACCAAAGTAAATATCTCTAATACATTCTAGACTTTAATAATGTGAACTAACTACTTCATTAAGCACTTAGTGAAAATCAGATATGAAGATTATGGATATACTACAGATCCTCAGAATCTGAGCCCTGTATTAAATGGAGAAGGTAGCAAGCATTGAGATTTTTATGTCATAGATTTAATGACCCTTGTCAACACACATTCTAGGGTGTTCAGATCTAAGACCTTCACTACAGGACTGAGAATTAAATAATTTGTTTTGGCTACTCATTCATGCATTCTTTTGAAGACTTCTTTTCAGGAAACTGAAGTTTGCTTGCCACAACATGTGATAAAAACTTGTTTTTCAAATACATTCCTCCTTCTTCAGACCACGCTCATGACACAGGTTCTTTGCACGGCATTGCAGGGAATTTGAGCTGCCTTGTTGAGCTGGGCTTGAGTAAAATCTTTACATACAACAAATTCAGATTTGTTAGAAGCTGCTATCCTGAAAACATGTACATACTTATGCAATGGCTGCAAACTCAAAGTTAATAACACCAACACTACTGAATCCCCCTATCAAGAATGTATATAAATGCTAATGTTCTACAAAACACTACCAAGAATTTAGTCTAAAGTCCTCCATTTACAAACTCAGCCTAACATACCCGACAGCAGGACTGGGATCTAAATGTTCAAAACAAAGCATCAGCAAATTTGCAGAAAACTGTTTTGTACTAACCTCTGTCTTCTTAGTTTATCCCTCATGTCAGGGAAGAATAATTGGATTATCACATATCGCATGCTTCCTTTAATTCCTAGAATATACAGTGGGTCCAGCAAGAAAGTTTTAATGTGTATGGAAAGAATGTCATTACATATTAAGCCAACTCTTGTTAATTATGAAGCTCTTTCAGCGTATCAGAAGATTCTGTACAATTAATGATTTTCACTAGCTCTGGGAAGAAGAGAGACCCACAGATAAGCTTTAAGTGTTTCACAGCTTGCCTGAAAAAATGAAATTTTAGGAATGGACTGAATGACCATTAGGGAAGAGTATTCTCTCTTTCTCAGTCATAACTGAGAGATAATCACTGCCTTTAAAGAAGGAAGATAGGCTGAGTGTGCAAAAGATGCAGTCACAATCATCTGACTTACTACTGAAGAAGCCCATCAGAACATCTGAAAAATCATACTCCTGAATGTCAGCTGGAAATCACAGAACAACAGGCTTCAAAAGGAAACTCCAGAAGGCAACTTAGCCCCTCTCCAATGTCCTAAGGCTTGGTCATTATACTTCTGGTGTTCCTGAGAGATGATGACTGTATATTCAATATGTTCTTTTCTATTCTCTCAAAGTAGTCTATGACTTGAAGAATCACACTCAGAATGGATTAAAACCTACTTATTAAGCAAACACTACTCTGGGCATAACACCCCACTGCAAACACCCCAACACACAGTCCTCCATCCACCTCTGCAGAACAGCCTTACTAAAGCTAGAAGATAAGAGAAGGTTTCACCATTCTGCACAACATGTTACTACCTCGAGAGAAATCAGATTTGTTTGACTTGGAGCCTTCTAGACAAACCCATGTTTGGGTACTAATAATATCAGCTAAGCATTTGCAATCTCCTGATTTGTCCCATTTTGCTTCTGGAAACCAAAGTTGACTAATGAAGTTTTCTTCCTCATTTTCCAAGCTTCTCACCCACACTTCTATAGTAGAAACTGCTAAAAGGACAAATGGAATGGTTTCATATTGGAACCTCTTCCAAACTGAAAGCAAATGACTAGCCACTGACAGACTGCCTCATCCAGTTTTAAGAACCCTAGTCTGAACTTCATCACATTTTATGATCCAGGAAAAAACCCACAAACTTACTCAGGTGCTCTGATCTAATACAGTTCTGACAGTTGTAGGAACAGTATTAGCCACCTGATTTCAAAAACTTATTAACAAAAGACAAATAAGGTATTATTAAATGGTTCTTTTCTCCTACTGGCACCCATTTTTCTTTCCCTGAGAATACCTGGAACAAGGAACACGTGGTTCTATGTGAGTTCAACCCCAGAGCCTGCAGAGCCAAAATCACCATTTCTCAGATGCACCTAGGAAATATTTCAGAACTACCAGGTGAAATGATGTGGTTGTAAAAGCAAACCTGAATGTTTTATTCCACAAATATATGTGATGTCTGAGTTTTTAAATTTTCTTTTAAGTATAATGTATTAGTTTTTCAGGCAAACCTGTCTTTATTTCAACACTTAAATAATCAGCCAAAAGGCAAGGAACTGCACCCACTTGGGAGAAGTAAACCTGGCATTGGCATTTCATGCAAAGTGCCATACTACTCTCTCTGTAATCCACCTCACTGTGAAATACTCAATTTAACATCATATTCTCTCTTTAAATATACTACTGAACTCTACATCTAATGAATCAGCATTAATTAATTATGCATAGATTACTTGCTGTCAGGATACAACAGGATTCCTGTTAATTTATTTAAAACACCTCTATACAGGAATTTGCTGCGGGGAGCATTCCTTTCACCTAAAGGCATCTGTAAGGAAGGCAGGATTAAGAGGATAAGGACCCCTCTGGAAAAGTCCTTTGGCCCAACAAAGTCACTCCACTTCCCCTTTCACTGGTAATGGATGTACCCTCCCAGCCATTATCTGAAGGATACTGGCAGCTCCAGCATTTGACGAGTCAACAAAACTAAGTATTTTATTTCTTTGGGTACACACAGTTTCATTTAGCCTTTGTATGCCCTTTATGTATTAATCATAAATGTACCTGTAACACCTCACATTCATCTGTAAAATCTTATGCAGGAAACACTGCAAAAACAACCAAAGTTCCAGTCTGTGGCACGGAAGGTGCTGACATGGTCATCTTAAGTTGCCCTCTGTTGCCTAGTTTCCATTTTCATTGTTCATACACTTGAAGCAGGTAGTTTCTCAAGACAATGTCCATCTCCCAGAGCAGGATAAACCACCAAATACTTTATTTTTATGGTTTATACTAAGCCTTTTCATTAACTCAGCATCATTTTGCAAAGACGACAGACTCAGTGAAAATATCAGTTAATGCCAGATTTTCCTACAGATAAGAAACCCACCTATGTATACCCTAGAAGAAGAAAAAGTGATCTCTGAGAAAGTACTGTGAAAATGGCAGCAGATCAGTGGCAAATCAGCTCACTTGTGTGGATCCATGCATACAAGAGAAATGTACTTGAGTTCTCCTTCCTCATTTCCATGAAGGTTCATCTAGCACAGCACATCTTCAGTCACCATTGCAATAAATGCCAGGCCCAAAGGACACAACATCAGCACTGCTTGTGCACAGGGAGGGCAAAAGGTACATGTGAAACCCTGGGGAGGGTTGAAGAGGGAGGGAGGAACCACGCACATACACAATTATTTTTTAGAGCACTAGAAGTGATGACACATGCAGCGTGTACTCATACTACTTCTTAATATGGTCACTTTACAGCATTGAGAATCAACAGTTTCACCTGGATTCTTTTCCTTGCTGGCACAAACATTATTATTCAACATCATCACTTAAAAATACCCTGGATTGTGTTTACCAGAGCATAGCAAGTGAGAATTCCTGTTTCAACGCATGCAGACTTGCACATGTTGCTGTCTACATTAAATAGACATCACATATAAAATCAAAGTTAACTTACTAAACAAGATAACTGAGAAGATCATAATAATAATAATAAAATGCTTGGAAAATTAATTACTTTTCCAAAGTGCAATGGGATAAGCCAGGTAATTATACTGGTTGAATATTTGGCTTGGCACCTAAGAACCAGCTGTATTTTTCTTTTTGGCTCAAGGTCTGGGCTACCATTTCTTGCCACAAAATATTTAAGCTCAAACATATGTTCCGTTAAAGATCTTGAGAAAAATACCTCGGGAAAATGTTAAATGAAACAAAAGGTTATGTGTTCCTTTTCTTTTCAAAACTATAAACTTAACATAAATCACCACCATATCCATGTAAGCATTTAAGCCAAATTAATATTTACCCATGAGCCGGATCCAAAGCTATTGCCCTGGGCTGATCAAGGTCTTGCCAGAAGAGGACTTTTCTAGATGTTCCATTGAGATTAGCTACTTCTATCCTATTGGTTTCTGAATCCGTCCAATAAAGTTTTTTCCCAATCCAATCACACGCCAGGCCATCCGGGGAAACCAGACCAGAAATGATGACATTCTGCACCACATTCCCAGTTTGGTTAATGTAAGTTTGCTTGATGGCTTCTTCACTCACATCTGTCCAGAAAACGATGCCTTGTGAATACTGGAAGTCGACCGCAGCAGCATCCTCTAAACCACTGACCACCACGGTGGACTCCAGCTTCGTGCCTCCGGCATCCACGAGCCGAACATCCCGCCGGTTGGCAAAGAGCAGAAAGGGAGATGCTGCAGAAGGAAAAAATGGAAACATGTTAGCATCACAGGCATCTACAGATGTTCAAGAGCTGACTATGTATGTGGCAGAGGATTTCTTCTCCCAGACTGGCAGGGCAGGGAGTACAGCAGTGTCACCGTATCTAAATACCTCTTCCTTCCCTATGTCAGACAGGGGTGTAAAAGAGAGATGGAAGAGTAGGCCCAGTTCTTTATCTAGGGGATGTGAGAAGCATCTTCCACATAGCGAGGAGTTCACATCAAGACTTTTCAACAATACCTTCTGTCTGTTGTTCTAACAACAGACAAATTAGAACAAATTAAGTGTTCATGGTTTAAAAGCTTGGTTCAACCAGTTGAATTAGCAACAACACGTGAAAGCAAGCACTGAGGCCTTTTAGCAGCAGGCTGAAAGCCAACAGCACTAGACACAGCACCCTGAAATGCTCCTACCAAGCACCCTCCCAAACAGCAAAAACCGTGACAGAGTTTCAGAACTCCTGTCTTCTCTCCTGCACCACAGCAAGAGAAATTCAAAAGTTTGAAGGCAGACAATGGCATGGGTTGGGGGTGTTTGTAAAGACTGCTGTTAGCTGAAAGAGATAGCGAGAGCAAAAGGACAAAGGTTTCCCAGCTTCCCCCATCTCACCCCAATTTTTCTAACTCAAGCAGCAGCTGCTGAAGTTCTACACCAGTGACCTGCTGAATCCCAGCTTCATATGCAACCATTGCATTCGACGTGCTGCCTCCAATGCACAGTCAGCACAGGTCCAATAATTTGCTACTCAGGGAACAGAGCAGCTCATAGAATACTCATAGAATAGAGCAGAACATATTATATCTCCTATGTTTCAAGTCTGTCATATAAATACCTTCAGTTTTAAATTCACGTTACTGTATGTAATATGTAAGAGTTACTTCTTGATATTGTCTTTCAGATTCAATTTCTCCTGCACTTTCTAAAAAAGAAGACAGTTTATACAGTGTCTGAATTGCAGGTCTGCAATGCTGGCTGCCCTATCATTGCTATATTGCCAGTCTCGTGAATTCTGGCTCTGGCTACATTCTCACTGGAGTGTGTGCCTCTGCACATCCTTGACAACAGCTAATATGTTTATGTGCAGGCCAAGGACCTCAGTCAGAATACACAACTCAACTTCAGATGACCTCAAAAACACACATAAAAATTCAGAGTTGTTATTATTATTCTCCATGTTCCCTGCCCCCCCTTCCCCCCCCCAAGCCAGGAAAGAGATTGTTTTATTTTGCTTTTTGAAGGAAGAGTATGCTGATCTAATTTACATCACCTGGTAGTTTTAATGAGGGTCTTGGACAGCAAAGAGAACCAATTGTTATCATTAACGTTTCACTGAAGATGTATCTTTTTTCTCTACCATATTTAACTCAAGAAAGTTTATACAGCTTGAGAAGAATTACTTGTTAAGAAATTATGTCTCAGTAACCCTCCTATTTAATTTTTCTGGCTTGCCAAGCCCTTCTCTCAGTCATCTTTAAAAACACCACTAATAGTATCAGGAAAATCCAACAGGTTAGTTATTGCAAACAGACAAAAAAAAGTCTAAAATACCAAGAGCTTGTTTTCTTCTCTGCAGCTGATTGGTTCCCCATAGCCACGTCTGTTTTAAGTGGCACTGTATCAAAACATTTGAACACTTGGGAAGTTTCATGTTAGAGGGCTCCAAGTCACAAATTCTTTGGGGCAGAGACCTTCTCAAGTTATGCACACTGCCTCACAAAACCAGCCCCACATCCAGACAAAGATCAAAGCTGCAAAAAGCCTATGTAGAATTTTTTTTTTTTTAATATTGTCCCAAAAACTTGTTTAGAGGAATCTGAATAGATTGATTTTCATCTAGACATTTCCATACTGAAGGCATTATTAATGCTACTACAAAGGGAAAATGAACCTGAAATATCAAGTCCAATCAACAGCAGAAGAACTCAACAGCTTCTTAACTAAAGATCAGACATGAAAAATGTCTAATCCAATCAGTATCAACATTATCCCAGCTCCCCATCCCTTTCAGCAGATTTCTTCCCTGCTGATGTACACAGTGGGGCAGCAGCAGGCAGATAAGGCACTAAACTGCTGTGTTCCCTGTCACTTCTGTCCTTCAGAGATGTCCTGATTGAAGTGCAGCCTCATTGTGCTGGCCATGAGCACCCAGCAGGGAAATCCCACTGCCCTGTTCACTACTGTGTTAGAACTTCACTGCACTATACACCCCTCTAAACTGATTGATTATTGAAAATGGCCAGGTTTTATCCCCTTTAAGAACAAGTCCACTTCGTTTGGGACAGACAAAAAGAGAAGGCAGAACTCTGATTCTGAAAACTATATTCACTTCTCTGCTCCTCCCCACCAGCTTATTTTTTTTTTATTCCAAATTTTATTTTTGAAATGGTTACAGAGCCCTTTTAGAGCAATACTGGTTGGGAAAATAAACAAACAAACAAGAAAACCACAAAAAGTCCAACAAACAACAGTGATCTGCTTCTCTACAGTAATTCTTGCTTGAAATGCTGCTGAAGAAAGCCCATGTCTCTCACATAAATAAAATAAATAAAACAAAAGTCAGAAAAGTACCTAAATGTACTTCCACTATCTTGTATTTATCACTTCAGGTCAGAATGTGATGGCTCATGAGAAGGCAAAGTTAGTTCTGGTAACTCTGCAGATTCCACTAAATACAATTTCCAAGATGTCGCAAGAAAAGTTCACAGAACTTTTCAAATTTTCAACTTTCCCTGTTAATAAGCAGTAAATATGAAAGAGGCAGCTAAGACAACAAATGTGTTTCTAGAAAGATACACACATAGCATTTCACTTCATAAAATTACTCAACAGTTTAGCAATTCAAAATATATATTCATACTCTAGAAAATTACAACCAACAGGGTTTTAAAGGCATGAGAATGAGAAACAAAGCTCAAAAAGTATCAAAATAAATGGGATTAACAAAACACTTGATTTTCTGTGCCATCAATAAACCACGCTCGAGATACAAGGCCATCCCACCCATGGAGGGTACAAGTTTATTTTGAATCCCACATGAAAGCAGAATCAAAACTTCATTTCAAGAATATGAAGACCAATCTAAATCATGCTGTCTTCTCAGTCCTGAACTGGGCTTGATGGTCCCCAGAACACTTTTATCCTTGATGCATTTAATTCTTTACTGCACAATTCTTGACAAGACAAACAGGAAAGCAAGTTAACGAGAGTTTCCAAGGAGAGGGATGGGGGAGACACAAAAAAAGCAGCAATCACTGCCAACCATTAACCTGCAAATGAGCTTATTTGTTTCACAGGAGGAAATATTCTTTCCTTGAGAAGTTATTCCATGGTTAGAAGGTTAAAAGATTCAAAGGAACACTGAGTGTTTTGCTCTATTTTGATCAGCAATACTCTTGACAACTGCAAATTGCTTGAAAAGGGAAACACCATTTCTATTTTGAAAAAATAGAAGAATAAACAGTGAAAGGATGAATTCTGAATGTGGAGGATAAACTGTTCCTATCCAGCCTATTACCACCCAATTGAAACAACATTTTAAAAAAGTCACAAAAAAAGTATTCTTTTTCAGTACAATTAGAACAGTTGATATTTTTCCATAATAGGCAATATTTAAAATGTCTGTACATAGCTACAGTTCCCAGTCTTTGGACACAACAAAAAAAAAAAAAAAAAAAAAAAAAAAAAAAAAAAAAAAAAACCACACAAAACACCCAAACCTGAAATCTCTCAAATTTTCAAATAAATTCTAAAGAGATAACAGCCTGAACTACACAAAGTTAAATAATTTCTTCTTGCAGCAATTCTACAATCTTTCTTGGATCATGCAGTACTTGATCAAAACCACTTCATTCTAGAAAGACATATTATTTCTGTGCAAAACCCCACCATTTTTCCTGTGGTTTTCTGCTAAGTGGAAAACACCCTTGACTTGACAATGTAGTGAGCTATCTACACAGAAGCCTATTGTACAATTGTATGAAAACAGAGCTTCTCATCAGTCCATTAACTGCAGAAAAGGAAACACTCCTGGTCAGGCAGGGTAGGAATCAAGCAAGGGTTCAATTTCCAGCTTTGCCTTTGATCCTTTAAATGCTCACTCCTCGTCTGTGGCCATTTACTAAATTTTAATTGTTTCACCTGCATCAGGAAAGTTGTTTTGTGCAGACGTAACAAGACTGAAGGATTTGTATGCTTTTGTATAATTTATTTGGTTGACCACCATAAACAGTATCAGTTTCTGAATTCAGTCATCAACTGCCATTGTTTTAATGGTGCCCATTTAGAGCACTTGCATTTTATTAAGTGCTTCAGGGGTACCTGTTAGCGTCAGTAAACTGGCATGGAACAAACAACTAAAAAATTCACTATATGGTCTTTACTATTAGCTACAGTAATAGCTTTCTAAAAACCAGTTTGACAGGGTTCAACATAGATATTAAGACTAAGATGATCATGAGTGATAATAGTGTATTTGTCATGAGTTGTTGTTTTTTTGCAAAGCTGCAACACTTCTAAGACAAGTTGAGCAAGAGTTTTAAAAAGTTATATTTATACTACTGCTTCATACTTGTTGACATGCCTACATTTTGCCTCCTTCCCCTTAAAGCCAAAATAGAAAGACATGAGAATACTGAGGCACATGCATGATTTCCACCCTTGAAAGCACCAAAAGCACAGAACAAACACAAATCCTATGTATAGCACATAGGAGAAATGCCTAACTTACCAGTTCTTAAACTGGTTAACTAGGCTGAAGTTCATGGAAAGGTTTAACTGTGATTTTAAGAAAAGCAACTGAGGATCTTGGGAACCTGGCACACAACATAAAATAAGGGTCTCATTTTAATAAGCATACAAGCGAAAATAGCTATCCAAAATTACAGCATGTGCACCAACTTGTATTTTAAATATTATTTCAAACCTTAACAGGACAATTGCAATGGAGACCTCTGTGGTTAAGCCATCTGTATGG